TATATAAGATTTTGCTAGTTACAGTGTACCATAGTAAACACAGGTAAAACAAGACTCAAATATAAAACAGATTACTGTGAAAAAAATATTAAATAGAATATTTATAAAGTATTAGAGTTTAGCGCAGCAAACCCGCCGTGAAGCGTCAGCGGCAGTGACGTCACGTGACGCATTGACGCCGCGCAGGAAGGGGCGGAGCTTCAGTGCAGCTGAGCGACGTGTTCTAATCACACGGTTAGCTGCACGTTCATCACAGAAGACATGGTGTTATTAGAAAACGACGCGGTAAGAGCACTTCATATCTCCCGTTCAGCGTTTACCAGTCGGTTATATTCCTGTGCAGTACGAGAGATTCTGAGTTTGCGTGTTTAATCGGGCGGCGTCGAGTCCAAACATGTTAGCAAGCTAAATCACACAAACTCTCCACACACTGATTTCTGCTGCTCTGCGGACGACTGACTCGTATTGCAGCGGTTTTCAGCTCATATTAAAGTAGTCGTGTTATTATGTACTGTAAATAATGTTCAGGTTAGAGGTTTAGGGTAACTAATCACTTTCTGCTTCGTTGTAATAGGAGAAATCTCAATAATTCGTTTATTTTATGATCACGATGAAGTGTGAATGTTATTAATAACCTTTAAACGTGGTATCACAATGAATCAGCCTCTTGTAGACTTGAGTTAAAGCTGTACAGGAGCTCAGCACAAGCTTGAGTTTCTGTCTTTTATTAATACACACTGCTGGTCAAAAGATGGGATCAGTGAGATTTGTAGTGTTTCTAAAGAAGTCTCTTCTGCTCACCGAGCCTGCATTTATTTGAGCAGAAATACAGCAAAAGCAGTAATATTCTGAAATATTTTTACTATTTAAAATAACTGCTTTCTGTGTGAATCTCTGTTAAACTGTAATTTATTTCTGTGATCAAAGCTGTATTTTCAGCAGCATTACTCCAGTCTTCAGTGTCACATGATCTTCAGAAATCAGTATAATAAGCTGATTTATTATTAATATTGAAACTGTTGCTGCTTAATATTTTTTTTGGAACCTGTGATACTTTTTTCAGGATTCTTTGATGAATAAAATGTTAAAAAGAACGACATTTATTTAAAATAGAAATCTTTTGTAACAATATACACTACCGTTCAAAAGTCAGCTTTATTGCAATTAACAATTTATGTATATAGTTTTAATGACACTAATGCATTGGCATTTTGAGCTCTGCACAGTTTTATTGATATATTAAATGATGATCCTGATCTGCAGATGACGGCAGAACGAAGCCGGTCCCCAGAAAAGGCCATCCAGAGACGTTTGAAGCGGCCGACAACAAATGTCTCCTCAGAGCGTCAGACGGCAAGAACAAAATCTGCACAGTGGTGAGAAAACAGCATTCAATCACACCTGTGCGTGCGTGTGTGTGTGTGCGCGTGTGTGTGCATAAAATTTTATTTTTGAAACAGATTAATGCTTTTATTCTGCAAGGATTTCTATTTTAAATAAATGCTGTTCTTTTTAACTTTATATATTAATATTTATTTATTTATAAATATGATGTGCTACCAAAGAGGAAGTAGGTCCTTCACCAAGTAGTTTTCTTAAAGGGACAGTTCACCCAAAAAATGCTAATTTCCTCATGATTTACTCACCCTCAAGCCATCCTAGCTGTATATGACTTCCTTCTTTCAGACGAATATAATCAGAGTTATATTAAATAATGTCCAGGTTAATCCAAGCTTTATAATGGGAGTGGATGGTAGCCCAAAAAATTGCACCCATCCATTATAAAAGAAGTCCACACGGCTCCGGGGGGTTAATAAAGGCCTTCTGAAGCGACTCGATGTGTTCGTGTAAGAACAATATCCATATTTATCTCGTTCACGAGAGCGTGGCGTCCAGCAGATGACGTAAGACGTAGGCAAACGCGGTGACAAAACACCTGTCACGAATTAGACGCGTGTGTGTGCGCGTGCGTGTGTGTGCGCGTGTGTGTGCGTGTGTGTGAGAGTGTGTGCATATGAGTGTCTGTGTGTGTGTGTGTGTGTGTGTGAGAGTGTGTGCATGTGCGTGTGTGTGTGTGTACCTGTTTTTCTATTCTGGTGGGGACTTAAACCTGAATACACACATCCATTATAAAAGAAGTCCACACGGCTCCGGGGGGTTAATAAATGCCTTCTGAAGCGACTCGATGTGTTCGTGTAAGAACAATATCCATATTTATCTCGTTCACGAGAGCGTGGCGTCCAGCAGATGACGTAAGACGTAGGCAAACGCGGTGACAAAACACCTGTCACGAATTAGAAGTACAAAACGAGGATTTGTAAAGAAAAATGTCGAAGGATATAATGTCATATACAGCTAGGATGGCTTGAGGGCAAGTAAATCATGAGGAAATTTACATTTTTGGGTGAACTATCCCTTTAAATCTCTTCTCTCTCTCTCTCTCTCTCTCTCTCTGTTCAATTCAATTAAATTAGCTCTCTCTGTCTCTGCAGTTTCTGACTGAACTCACTCGGCTGTTCCAGAAGTGCAGGACCACCGGCAGCGTCGTCATCACTTTTAAGAAATGTACGTTCATCTGAGTTATTATTAGATTCTTCTAATTCAGCATGCAATAAAAACATGCATGCTGACATCTCACTGTTATTTTATTAATATATTTTAACATTTTATTTCAAAAAATATTTTTACATTTTTTTAAATGTTTTTTTTAC